TACCAGGGCCTTGTGGGCCTGAGGGAGGGCAGTGCCACTCTCTGGCAGCTGTGGGGAGAACAGGTGTTTGACCTCGCGTTTCTTTGTGTTTTTGCCTGTGGCAGCTTGTGTTTGTGGTCTCTCTTCCCCGCTGCCTTTTCTGAGTTTTGAGTGAGCCGCGTCAGGGATACCTGGGTATCTGGGGACTAGGGGGGCGCGGAATCCACTGGCAGCAACTGCCAGCCAGGCAGGGCACGGGACCACTGCTCCAAGCTCAGCCCAGCTCTCCCCTGTGTGTCCTGACCCAGGGGCCCAGCTGAGCCCTCTGTGACTGCTGGCCTGAGGCCCAAGACGGCAGGTATCAGAGAGGCTTCCTCTACTCTCATGCCCCCAGAAAGGCCTAGGGAGGCGGGCGGCAGCATAGGTGGGCCTTTTGGGAGACTCCAGCTGACCATCAGGACAGCAGCCTCAGACACACCTCTTGCTGCCCCTCTTCCAGGTAGGGCTGTGCTTCTGGCCCCCAACTCTAGCTAAGGCTTGAAAAAAGCCCCGCTCTGCCCACAGAAAGGGAAATGCCGGGGCCAGCAAGGCTAGCCTGGGCCTCAGGCTGAGCGTGTCCTTGGTGGTATGTCTGAATGCAGTGATTGCATCCCCCAAAACTCATGGGCAGAGAAGGCAGAAACCCAGGGCACAGTGACCCCTGGCCTCCCTCTGGCCTCGCGCTCAGCACCCATGTGCACCTGCCTTCTTGTTATCTCCCTGAAAAACAAAGGACAGCACTGCGCTCAGAGTGGGTGGCCCCACTGCGCTCCTCAGACCTGGGGCCTCCTCTGCACAGCTCCCTTGGCTCCGATCCAGAGCCAGGACACAGCACCTGGGCAGAGCATCCTCAGCCTCACAGCTGCCCAGAGGAAACCCAGGGCCAGCTCAACTGATGACCTTGACGCTGAGTGGGATTCATGACCGCTGGGGGCACAGGAGGCTCTGGGTGAGTAGGGTCATCCCACCCTGACCCCAGAGCGCTGCACTCAGAGACCTGGAGAAGCACTGCCCAGCCATGAGGCACCAAGGAGCCAGCCCACACCTTCCCCGCGCCCGCAAGACCCACTCAGCCTCAGACGCCAACAGCGCCCACGTGTGGACGCATTCATGGTGCCGGCTGGGTGAGGTTAGGTGCCTGGTGACCGTGGGCAGTCACACTGGTCTGCATTCTACTCCAGTTACCAATGCCATTCTTCAGTGTCTCCACGAAATGGACATCTATCACATTAGGACCACAGTCAGCCCCCAGTGGCCAGGCACCGTGAAACCAGAGGCCGCTGGGAGGCTCAGAGGGACTGAGCTCTGCTGTCTATGCTTACTCTGTACCTGGACATGCTGCTGCTTACCCGCAGCCTGCAGCATACCAGGCCACCTACCTTCGGAGCCCAGCAAGTCCCCAGGATCACTCCCTCTGCCAGCAGTCCTAGGGTAGGGCTCCTCAGGCCAGGTGTGCACTGTAAATAGGTCTCTGGACGCCTGGTGTCCTGGTCCTGAAGAGCAGCACAACACTCTGCTCACAGCCCCCACCCCCGCCACTAGTCCCCTGTAGCCTCCTGCTGGCCCCAGGCCCCAAAGACTGGCACCTCTGGTCTGATCCACGGCCCCTGCTGACACTCTGGCCACACAGCAATGCTGGAGTATTTCCAGCGAGGGACAGGAGGCTGCTGCGGTGCTGCAGAGGGTATGTGGGCTCCCCCAGTACTGCAGGGGGCCCTGGAAGTCTGGGGCAACTTCTCTTACCACAAAGGCTTTGGAGAAGGAAAACAACAGGAAACACTAATAGACACACTCTGAGTGTTGGTCATGTGCCACACTTAGACCTGAAGATTGCCTGTGACCCCACCTACAGTGGTTCCCCTCACCTGCCCACCTCACCTGCCCCACTTGTCCACCTCACCTGCCCACACCTGTTCACCTCACCTGCCCACTTCACCTGTCCACCTCACCTGCCCACTTTACCTGTCCACCTCATCTGCCCACACTTGCCCACCACACCTGTTCCCCTCACCTGCCCACCATACTTGCCCACTTCACCTGCCCAGCTCTCCTGCCTACTTTCTGGCCAGCCTGGCAAGTCACAGCTAGGGTTGTACCTGCTCCTTGGTTTGGGTGTCCAGTTTTTCTGGTGTCATCTACAGCTTGGTCCCTGTTCGTGATGCCAATTTAATGAGGACACAGTTTGAGAAAAAGGAAGAAGGTTTATTGTTTTGCTAGCAAAGGAGAAGCACAGGGGACTCCTGGCCTGGCAGCTGTGGTTCTGCCCACAAGGGAGAGCAGAGGGCTTTTAAAGAAGCTCTTTGAAGGCTGTGCTCTGCCAAGTCCTAGGTGTTCCCTGAATTCACTTGTTAATTTGGGAGAGTTTCACTTCCTAAGTCCTCTGGTGACATCTCCTTCCTGTGGTGGGTGTGTGCTCAAGGACAGATAAACTCTGCCCTGGGGTGAGAAAAAGTAATCCTGTCCCTGCCCCAGGTGAGGGAGGGTGAGAGAGAAGAGGAAAAGAAAGCCCTGCTGAGCAGCATCAGCATCACGAGGCGACCGGGCCTCTGCCACAAGGGGTCTCCACCAGTGGCACTGATGCCCACGTCCCAGAGCCGGCCTCTGCTAGGCAGGACGGCTGCCTCATCACAGTGCTCTTAGACTGGCCAGAGCCACTTATCCCCTGGTTTATGGTCCCCTGTCTGCCATCCTCAGTGCTGGGCCTCTTTCCTTACCTCTCTAAGAGGCCAGGCCACCTGCAGCTGCTGCTCCCTGCTTTGCTTCCACCAGAGGTGGTGACTCCAGGGCAGCTGGTTGGCTCCAAGAGGAGGAGTGAGGCCGGTGCTCGTAGGAAATTTTGCACATAGGAAACTGCAAAACAGGAAGAGGATGAAAAAAGCAAGTCCCAAATCTCAGGGCTGTTTGTCACAAAGTGACCCCCAGACCTTGGGGAGTAGCCAGGGGCTGGCAGCCAGCTCTAAGGCGGCTGACAGGGCATCAAGCCAGACACGGGCAAAGCATTGAGGCCAATAGCAAGGCCCTGGTCAGCTGCACAGCGCTGTCCCAGGCCTCCCTGGCAGCTGCTGCTTCCTAAGCTCAGAAAAGAAACCCTTACCATGGAGACCAAGCTCCCACTGGGTGGGGAGGAGGAGCCAGCTCAGCAGTCCCTCAAGCTACCCCGAGAACCCTTTTTATCTCTTCTACCCGACTCCTATTGCACATTTGGAAAGTTTATTTTGCAAAACCGCATCTAGTATAGCAACACATTCTTCAAGAATCAAAGTCATTTATAACAGCCAGCCAAAGTTTTAGTCACAAAAAGACTACTGAATTAATTATTTTATAACAAGTAATTATTAAGCAATAATGGTAGCTGTGGAACTAGCTTATAGAGGTAGTGAGGCCGTTGCCCTCTGGGGAATATGAGCACAGAGTGAATGTGTAGGGGTAGGGTCGGGAAAGGAGCAGGAGGCATAGGGAGGGGTGCAAGATGTCCCACAGACTGGTGCCAGGAGCTACTGTCTGAAGATGAGCAGTTTCAAGGCAGCTGGCTCATGGACGTGGTTTTCCCAGAGGCAGGGCTAGCACTCCAGGCTTGGTAGGAAGGCCTGGCCCACCAAGAGCCTCCAGAGTCTATCTGGCAAAGGCCCATTCCAGGATGCCCAGCTCTGGAGCAACACCACACAGGTGGCATGTGGGGTGCTTCCACCAAGCACACTGGATTCCAGGCAGCTTGGTTCTGCAAGAAAGGTGACCGTCAGAAGACAAAGCAAAGGGGACACCTAGCCCCAGTCCCCCTGGGCTCATCTCCGGGGCCCTGGGTCGTGGAGACAGTGGAGTTGACTGCTGGCCTGTGCAGCCGTGCTGACTCAGGGTGACATTTCTCCAGTCCTCTCCTTTTAAGGCCACTGGGGATCTGAGACACGGGCAGGGAGCTGGCCAGGCAGCTGGAGCTTGGGAGTCATTGCTAAGAATAGCTCGACTCTGAAGTTTCTAAAAGGAAACCTGGACTACCTGAATCTCTAGAGACTCCTGAGTCACAGTTACCCTGCTGCTGCCGCTTATGTCAGGCCGAGCTGTCTGCATGGCTGAAGCACAAAGGGTCCCATGTGAGCCTTCAGTTGCAGGTTAAATGTGGCCCACAGCTGTCGCTGGGATGCACCACCAGAAATAGTCTCTGCGCAACAATAACGAAAATGATGGCCACAGGGGCAAGGACACAGACGGGGTGCGTCATTGCTGCTATCCCTTGGAAGAAGACATGTCAATCAGGCTGCCAGCCAGTTAGGAGCATAGAAAATAGTGCTGATACAGGGGCTTCATGAGCTGTAAGGGCAACCACAAGGACGAGAGAAACAGTCCTTAACTAATGGACCAGAAAATCCGGGAAATTTGTTGCTAGAGAAAGCCAGTGATATTTATACTAATGCAGAGTGGGGTAGCAGAAAGAGTAGAAAACATAGCCTTGAGGAGAAGCTGAGACAGGGAGAGGAGCTTCCCAGCCACTGTGACCCATTGGCAGGTGTGGGGATTATTGTCCTGAGCTGTCTGCGTGAAGGTAGGTGCCACCTTGCAGGCAGGAAGGGCCCTGGAGAGGACAGCCAGTCCTGCTGCATCTGATTGGATGATCTAAAGTGCAGCTTCGGCTCTTCATAAAAAATGGAGTCTGTGTCAGATTGGCAAACTCAAGACTCAGTGATAACACATCACACAAAGATTTCTGTCTCCATACACTGTTATCTAACTAGTAGAAGCAGTTCTAATTTGCTCACTTAACCAGTGAGACTTATATGAACATAAAGTACTGATGATGAGAAACTGAAACCTCAAAATGTACTGACCTCTGGGAAGACGGAGAAGAGACCACAGGACTACCATTGGTGACATCCAGTGTGGGGACTCACAAGTCATCTTGCTTCCTTGGCAAGTGGACTTCAAGTGAACTTGGCAAGCAATGAGAGAGAGAGGGAGAGACTGCTCCAGCTGTCAACACACTGTTCATGGATAGTTAAGACAAGATTTTAACATGGACTGGATATTTGATGTTTAGGAGTTAAGAGTTACTCCTGTGGTTAATTAGGATTATGATACTGTGATTTCATTAAAATACGATCAGTGTCTTTTAGAGGCACTAAAATACTTGCAGATGGAATTACAGAATTTGGAGATTTGCTTCAAAATAGTCTGTGGGGAGGTAGTAGGTTGGGGAACACTGCAAGGTGGCTGTGGGTAGTTACTGTTAGGGCAAGGGGCACACAGGGGCCCTTGTGCTGGCCTCTCAGCTTCGTTTGTGTGCATGCAGCATGCTTCATGGTGAAACACGAGAGTGAAGGAATGGAGTGATGAGGAATTCAAGATGACAGTGGCTTGTCTCCGTCAGGCATATCGGGCACCTTAAATGAAGGGGAGATGGTGCCCTCTTGTCCCCTTGCTTAGGAGGACACGTGGCGGACCCTTGCCCATATAGACAAGTGGTGGACTGGAACCTCAAGCTACTGAAGAAGCCACTCACGCTCCAGATCTACTTTCCACCAGATTGATGAGGGACACGGGACAAGGCACACTTAAGAAAGGAGGTCTGTCCCAAACCCACACCAACATGTGACACATGAGTTGGTGACAACCCCTTCAGGCTGTGAAGCCAGCACCCCTCTGTGAGGGGCTGCATGGCCTCACCGTCTCCAGTGGAGTGAAGAAGGCAGCAGCTGTTTCCATTTGCGGTTTTTTTTTTGCCAGCTCTGTTTTCTGACAGAGTTCCACGCCCACGGGTATCATCTGCTTCATTAGAGCTGTGCAATGTGCGCTGTAGGTTAAAACTCCTCTTCAGCTTCACAAAATCTGAGAAGTCCATTCTCTGTGGTTTTCTCTAGGCGACCGATCAAGTCTGTCTGAGAAGCCTGGGGCTATCCTTGTGAGGCATGCAGCTGTGGTGTCTTCTGCACCAAGAGACCACTCTCATCATCCCCAAGCCATGCCTGTGCCCACCCTGTGCAGCTCAGAGGCAAGTAAACAGCCTCCTGGCAGCAGCCAGGAGGTCAGTACCAGTCAGATGATCAGATGAAGTGCCGATGGTGACTCGGGGCTAAAAGGAAGGAGCTGATCCTGTAAATGACTTCATATCAACTCCAACCAAGCTACCAGTTACATTTTTTCATTGATTGCTAGACTGCAGGCACAATCAAAAGAAAATTTCATGAAATTTGGCTCATACTTTTAGAATCATACAAAAGTTTGAGTTATTAAATGTAGAATTCTATATCTATGGTTTTGTCCTAAAATCTAAAAAATGATAAAACTCTATCACATGAGGCCTATAAAATAAGGAAAACCACTCATATCAGGCCACACCACGTTATTGATTAGGATGCTCGTCTGCATTACTAGATTCACTTTCAAAACCTGCATCCCTGGGCTGGGGATGTGGTTCAAGCGGTAGCGCGCTCGCCTGGCATGCGTGCGGCCCGGGTTCGATCCTCAGCACCACATACAAACAAAGATGTTGTGTCCGCCAACTAAAAAATAAATAATAAAAAATTCTCTTTCTCTCTCTCTTAAAAAAAAAAACCTTGCATCCCTGTGAAGGGCTGGCCTTCTATGGATCTCCTCGCTGTACCCTGCCCTCGTGCTACATTGCTGTGGGTGTTCCAGCTGCCTTCCGGGAGTGCTAGCTCACAGACCTCTCTTCACCATTTCCACTGTTGGTCCTTGGGGAATGTTAGCAGACACTGCTCTGTGACAGGCATTTGTTTTATAGATGTACTCATATCACCCAGCAGCAAGGACTCTGTGAAGCGGTGTCCCAAGCCTGTGCACCAAGGAGCCAGACAGGCCTGTGAGGCAGAGCGGGCGCAGTGATTCCCTCCTGCTTGGAGCACCCACAGCAGCACTGGCATGGTCATGGGCAGACAGTGCAGGCCTCACTGCTGCCCACCTGCAGGAAGGTGCCCCAGGCCCTTGCCATCCCAGGGGCCCTCTGCTCCCCACACCCTGGTGGTTGTCACGTCTAGCCTACATCATTGAACATTCACCCTGCTGCTCACCTGACTTCCCATGCAGTGAGACAAGCTTGAAGTGAAGTGGGAGGGGTCTGCTTCCTCTGCTGCTATCTCCGGCTGCCCTACACAGAGCTGCCCAAGACCTCGACCACACTCTGGCTGTGGGGCGCCACTCGGGTCTTGCAGCCATGGAGATGGCCCACAGAAGAAACATACCTGCTCTATGCACCTCACAACTCTCCCCAGGCCCAGGGGTACTCTGGTGTGCTTGACTGCTGTCTACCTCCAGAAATCAGGATTTAATCTCTAACTGGTGTGTCCCCAGAATTTGGGAAGTGTCTGAATACACCCTGCTCCTATTTCCAACTGAACATCAGAAATGAGCACATTCTGGTTTCCTGGAAAAGCACATCTCAGTACCTAATGTTCTCATAGCACAGCAAGGCCAGCCAGCTTCATGTCCTGCCCTTTCAGAGCCTCCAGTCGCCTCCTTCTCTGATCCTTCCTCTGTTCTGCACTGGCCCCTCAGGGCGCTGACCTGGAGGAGCTGCTGCAGGCAGCTTCTAAGAACTCTTCTCTGAAGGGTTCACAAGGGTGGCACAACTTCCTGAGGCTTCAAAACCGGAGTGAGATGTTGGCAGGTCTCATTCCGCAAGCCTGAGAAGGGCCAGAGAATCTGCAAGCAGCACTTCCAGGCCACGCTGGGAACAGGCTGGTGCAGTCCACAGCATGACTTCCGTGGAAGCTGGACAGCATTTAGATTTTATAGAGGCGTGTTCTTCACATTTTTAAAAATTAGAGCATTTAACCGGATTCATTTTAACAAAACCATACAGGCAAGGAATGTACTTTCTATCCTCATCCCCCTCCCCCTGCTCTTGATGTCTTTAAAGAGGAAAATGGTCTAACCATATGACAAAGTAGTAGCCTCTTCCCTTTCCAGGTGCCTCAGAGATGCTCCACAGTCAAATCTAAGAAGCTAACAAAAGCTGCTAAAATAAAAGTCAGGACAGAAAAAGAAAACAGTCTTCAGCTATAGCTATTAAGATAATGATAATATTAAAATAAAAACTAAATTAAATGAGGACTCTTGAATAAATATACCACAAGGGTTGGCGTTTCAGAGTTTTAGGTTCAAATGTTTGATCAGCCAACAACTCAACTCTGGTCCAGAAGATGGTGTCACACACACGTGGTTGACCATGCATCCAAACTCTGGTTCAGGAGATGGTGTCACACACACAGTCACATTTGGCCTCTACTTAGGACATGGTATCACATATATGATCAACCCCATATTCAGCGTCTGGTTTAGTAGTTATGATTACTATACTTCCCTTTTACTCCATATATGGCAGATTCACCTTGTACTTGACTTCTCTGAGCAAAAAATAGCAAAAGCACCGGTGATGTCCATGTCACTGTTTAAGTATGCAGTGGCAAATCAGGGCAGCATTGCCCAACCCCAGGAAGCCAAAGGCATAAGTTCTACATGAGGAAAAAAAGACCTTTCTTGTACTTTCCTGAAGTTGCATGCCACATAGGACACCAGCCTGTCCCCTGGAACATATTTCCTGGCTGGTCAGATTCTGCTCCTTGAGGGTGTGAGTGCTTTCTAGTATACCACGCAGACAAACTGCTCAACCGAGAAATCTCAGGGCACTTTTATAGACATGGGCCCTCCTATCATCTTAGCATAGGGTTTCATCTGACAGGATTTTATCGAAGTTCTAGATATTAAAAGAACATGGTAGAACAAAACAAAACCAAGAGTGAAAATGAGAATGAAACAAATACTGAGTCTTTATCTCTGTTCTTCCACTAGTCAGTTGGCTGGAAATAACATTTTAAAAATATTTTAAATTATAGATGGACACAATATTTTTATTTTTTTAATGTGGTGCTAGGAATTGAATCCAGTGCCTCACACATGGTGCAAGTGCTCTACCACTGAGCCACAACCCCAGCCCTGAAAAATCATTTTAATGTATCTTATGATCAGTCATTCCTGTTTATGAAAGTATATGGTTCAAAAATAAAATCCTGCTGATTTTTTTCTCTCCAATCCATTACTACTCTCCTCTCCCTTCTCCTTCCTCTCTTTCCTTTGCACCTCTCAGGAACCCAGGATTCCTTTAATGCAGGCTATGCTAGATTCATCTTTGGCCCTCTGCATTTTGATGAGGGTGTCCACAAAAATGTCCCCATCTTAGATTATGAATGAGAGTTTGGGTTTGACCCAGTGACACCTCCTAGAAACTCAGCTCTTGAGCTCTAGAGAAGTGTGGGTAGCAGACTGCAGTCCTGAGGTGAGTGGCTAGGTTAGATGAGTCCACACTGCCATCTGGAGGCCGCTGGGAGAGTGACGTGGAGCCCTGGCGTTCCTTGAAGAGTGAGGGTCTCACTTCCCACGCTTTCTGGGACCTCACCAAGTCTCCACAAATCTCAGGGAAGAGTTCTGCACTTGTCTAGTCAGGCCAGGATGCAGCCCACTCTTCAGATCACCCATGGTTCCTAAGCCTTCTTTATGGACATCAATCCACATTCCACATTTAAAAAAAATTTTCCTAGCATAGAAGAAACGTTTTTCAGGATGATTCACAATCAGGAGACAGAACAATGTGGCTGCTGAACTCATGCCCAAGTGGTCAGAGGCAATGTGATTCCCCTGCTGGGCGGGGCGTAAGGGTTCCAGGCCTGGAGTGCTCATGGCCAAATGGTCAGGCCTTTCCTTTCATCTGAGGCAGTGATGAAATCTGCCACCTCAAAATGCACACACATCCACTAGGAAAGGAACTTGAATGCAGAGATGTGGCAATAACCCACAGAAGTCCTAGGAGACCACATTCCCATACCCGTGCCTGATAAGGCCAGAGTGCCCCGACTTGTGCTGGACTGTGGCCTTCGGCCCCACACACTCCGGACTATACATGGACATGGCTGCCAACCTCCCCAAGAGTGAAGCTCCTTCCTGTTGAGTCCACACCTGCTGCTAGAAACCCAGGGAGTGGGGAAGGAGTTTGAGCTACACCAGGTCTCAGTCTTTTTTTTTCACAACTAGAAGCAGACAGTAGCACCTGATGGCAACATATTGTCCAGGTTCAAAGAATCCCTGAAGCAATTCATGAAATCTTGAAGAGTTGAGGAGGTGTCAGTAGAGATGAGTTCAAGTAGACATAAAACTAGACAGTATTAAAACTGATGATGTCACACCTACTTGGTAAAGCAGCCCAGCTACTCAAGGAAGCTTGGTAGGGAGGGAGGCAGGGTTTACTTGTGGAAGAACTGCAAGATATGAATGTGAGGTGGCATGAAAATCATGGGTGGGTGCTGAGCAACTACATGGGCTGCACATGCAAAGTGTTCAGGCACCAGCCAGCCATCTTTTAGGTTCAGGTGGACAGCGTATGGATGTGAGTTGTCCCCCGCAAAAGCTCATGTGTGAGACAATGTTAAGAAGGTCAGAGAAAGCCGTAACCAAATCAGTGAATTAATCACCCAATGGGATTGACTTGAGTGGTTAACTGCAGGCGGGGGGTGGGGGTGGTGGTTGGAGGAAGGCATTGGAGGCCTGGCTTTGGTGTATGTATTTTATATCTGGTGAGTGCTTCCTGATCATCTTGTGAGCTGCTTCCCTCTGCCATGCTCTTGCGCCATGATGTTCTGCGTCACCTCGAGCCCCAAGGCATGGAGCCTACCTTCTATGGACCAAGATCTCTGAAACCATGAGCTCTCAAATAAGCTTTTCTCTTCTATAATTGTTCTGATTGGGTCTCTTAGTCCTATCAGTGAAACAGCTGACTAAACCTGATGATGATGATGGGCTGTCACAGCTCCTGTGATCACACCTGGGCTCCCAGTTCCCTTAGCTTCTAGGCCCTTTGTGTCTAGCCCACAGCACAGGAGTCTGGTATCTCTTCACTAGAGGGAGGTCAGAACAGGTGAGACTGACGGGAAACTCAGTATCAGCAGGCTCTAGTCCCATCTGTCCTTGTGTCCCCACCTCCACCCCATGGCCCATGCTGTGGATTTCAGCTCTAATACCAAACACACAAAACAAAGGCCTCAAGCCTAACCCAGGCCCTCTTAATGTGGTAAGATCAAATTCTACAAGAGACCCATCTTAAGTCTCCCAGGTTGCTTCTCTGGTGGAATCTGTGTGCTGAAGACGTGGACTTTCTCCAGCTGTGTCCACAGCGAGCACTTGTGTATCAGGTGGTTTTTCATTGCTGGGATCATAATACCTGATGAGAGGAATGAAGAGGAGAAAAAGCTCACCTTGGCTCACAGAGATTTTCTGGTTTTAGAGTTCTAGTCCCTGGTTGGCAGACTCTATAGCTTTGGACCCAAGGTGAGCATCAAAGCAGAAGGGTATGGTGGAAGAAAGCTGCCTAGCTTACCGCAGCCTGGAAGCAGAGGGAAGGGAAGGAGCTTCAGGGAAGATGCGTTCTTCCAAGGTCCCGTGTGGGCAGTTTAAAGGTTTCTGCAGGGGCTGGGGATATAGCCTAGAGGTACAGTGCTTGCCTTGTACTCATGAGGCCCTAAAAAAACTGCCTTAAAGGTCCCTTCAGGTGAGCAAAATAAATACCAAGAGCTCTGATCCTAAGATAAGATGGCCAAGATAGATTTGTCCAAATTCCTTGAAAGAATGCATTTTCCCTGCACATCCCCAGTGACCCACCTCCTCCAGCCATGTCCAACCTGCCTAGTTATCACCCAGTTAGTTCATTCAAATTAGGATGGACTATTGGGTTAAAACTATCATTATCCAATCATTTTGCCTCTGAATATGCCTGCATTAATAGGAACTTTTGGGGGCGCTTTCATCCAAATCGTTACACCTGAGTATTTCATTTTAAAAATGGAGATTTTCATGCCCTAACCCCATGTCAGGGATAGCCCAGGACCTGGTTCTGAGCAAGCACCCTTGTAACTGGTGTGAATTTAGGGAAGGAAGACTGAGAGTCAAAGCGCATTAACATATATATACTCCTGGGCCATGAAGGTCTCACCTGGGTAACAGGTACAGGAAAGTAGGAAAAAAACCTACCAGGGTAATTACTGAGACCCTTGGTAAAAGGACCATTTTCTGGGGCTGAGGATGCTGCTCAAGCGGTAGCGTGCTCAGCTGGGATACGGGGGCACTGGGTTCTATCCTCAACACCACATAAAAATAAAATACAGATATTGTGTCCACCTAAAACTAATATATATATATTTAAAAAGACCATTTTCCTGCTGACTTGTCATATTCTGCTCAGCTGCGCTGTGGGCCCCTGCACAGATCAGGCCTGCAGTTGTAAGAAATGTCCAGGCTCAAGATCAGCACATCTGAGCATCACAGGCTCAGCTCATCTTAAGATCTAGAGAGTACATTTCTATCCTGCTTGATAATCAGCATACATCTATGTATCCAAAGTCAGCCTGGAAGCAAGGAGTAATGACTACAAATTCTCACAATGAGCAGAGAGTAAGGGTAACACCTCCCATAGTGAGCAGTGGGCAGGGAGCAAGGCTAAGACCTCCCATGGTGGACAGCATCCCTCAGCAGTTGTCACATTGCCTCTGGTTGGCAGACCAGCCTCTGCATGACCTCAGCATTGGCTGTAGGTGAACTGCCCCTCTCACCTTCACTCAAGGCTACAAGGCCTCCCTTTTCAAGTAAGGAATGAGGCTGAGTCACCATAAAGGTCACCCAAATCATCTGGGCTTGGGAACCTCTACCAGCACCCATGAACCACAGCATGGCAGCCATCCAGAGGCTACAAGACAGCTAGGCGAGTGTGACCTGGGAAGGTGGAAAGAAGACATCAACAAGCACAATTATAGGCCACTGATCCCACTCAATTCATAGAACTCCCCTGGCAACAGGGGTAGGTGAGGATCTTACAGAAAATTCTAGACATACAGATTAATGGAATTTAAGTTAGTGAAAAACCGAATCCCGAACAATGGGAAATACTTTGGACAAAGAATAAAATAGATCTAGTTTATATAAAGATGACAATTATGTATTTTGCATGTAAGTCCACCGTTTTTAACTGTGATCTTGAATGCTGACATCAGGTGCCAACCTGAAAGTTTAACGGGAATCTGCAGGGCTGGCAAAGCACTGCTCTGTGGTAGGCTGGGTATGGAAGATCCACCATGGATGCAGGCGCACCATCCTATGGGGCCCTGAGGGAACAAGAAGGCGGCAAGGGGAAATATACCTCTCTGGGGCTGGAACGTCAGACTCCCAAGCTCTTTCAGATGGACTGGGTGAGCTTGGCGCCCCAGCCTTCTCCAGGATGCAAAATGCCTATTGTGGGACTTTCCCAGGCTCTGTAACCAAGTGCCAGTTCCCCTAGTAAGTCTCAATGTACATCCATCCCACTGCTCTGTCTCTCTGGAGAGCTACAATATGATGGAAGAGAAATGCAAACAAAACCTTCCTGCTGTATGCCAGTACTTGTGCAGACCAGTCCAGACCCGTTTGTAGGATGAATGTTTATAATATGCATCTACCAAGAGTTTTTGGTAATCTGAATCAAATTCTATTTAGCAAAAGGTAAAATAAATGAAACTGGTTCCTAATATCAACCAACATTGTAAGAACCCCATCATATCACAGGCTGTCACAGCACCTAGGTTAACTGCACAGTAAAACTGTTCAACAACTGGGTGGGTGCAGTGTTGCAGCCTGTAATCCCAGCAATTTGGGAGACTGAGGCAGGAGGATTACAGGTTCAAGGCCAACCTATACAACTAAGGAAGGCCCTGTCTCAAAGAATATCAAGGGCTGGGGGATGTATGGGTTCAATCCTTAGTACCAAAACAATAATAAAAAACCAAACCACCAAATAACAACAAAGTTAAAATGCACTTTACAGTTCTCAGACAAAAAAGTCTTTAGCTCTATCAAAACCTAGGATCCCCTCTCTCTTTGTGATACTGGGATTCTAGGTTTGGGCCTGTGGCATGCTAGGCAAGCACTCCACCACTTAGCTCTACCCGAGCCTTCTCTCTATTGTAACATTACCAAAGCACTTGTGAGACTACTCCAAAATTGCCTTCTACTACTTGGGATTACTATTTAAAGTTTTTATAATTATTAGCCAAATAGTTATTTAATAAGATCTGGGGTAAAAAAAAAAAATTATCCCAGATTTCTGGCTAAAGCCCACATGAAAGGTTTCTCACTTTTACAATTTTTAAGAAATTCTGGTTCAAGATTTTTTTTTTTACAGCACAGCCTTTTCAGATTGCCTGCTTGATAGTCCCAGGCATGAAATTTTTAAGCTATATCACTTATATACATTGAAGTTTTAATAAAACCCTGATAAACAACATCCCTTCTGGGCAGTTTAAAGATCCCTACAGGGGCTCGGGATGTAGCCTAGAGGTAGAGTGCCTGCCTTGCATGCATGAGGACTTGGGGTCAATCCCCAGCACAGCAAAAAAAAAAAAAAAAAGTGTCTTAAAAGTTCCTTCAGGTGAGTGGGTAAACTTAAATAAACACCAAGAGCCCAGTTCCTAAGATAAGCTAGCCAATAAGATAGATTTCTCCAAATTCCTTGCTGATAAATATGAGGGAAAATTCAGCAACACCTCTGGATGACAGCAATTGTGGGGAGAATGAAGAAAATGAAAGAAGAAATTCTACTTTCTAAATCTGTCTCCTTAGATAAAGCACATTTTAACAGAACAGGTACTTTAGGGTTCTTTCACAATAAAAAGACCTTGCCCAACAGCCCCCGGGACAGCCCATCATCAGTCCTTCCGAAGGGGAACAGTCTCCTCCCGGATTCCCTCTTTGGTCACAATGCAGATCCTGAGGGCATCCCCGGTGTATACGTCCCTCTCAGCTGCAGAAATGAAGACATCTTTCACCAGCCTCATGGCTCTGTCCAAAGACAATGGCACATGCTCCACGTTTTGCATGTTCTTGAAACCAACCTGGAAGGACAGGAGGCTGGCATGAGTGTCCTGTGATGGTAAAGGCCAAAGGAAGGTTCCAGCCTCCCCCCAGTACTCTCTCAGGTCTGTAGATTCATAATAAAAATATCACCCTAGAATGCCCTTCAGACCAAGAACTGCCAGTCTTGGATGAATCACACACACCAGAAACCTGGGATGAACTCACTGGCAAAGCTTCCATTCTTGAGAAGCTAAATCAAGCAAGGTAGAGACAGGTAAGCAGAGGAAGAGACAGTGTCATAACTAAGAAGAAAGTGGGCCAGGACCAATTTCTATAGCCACCAACTAGGTCCACTAGAAGAAGGCAGCAGCAGAGTACCCAAGAAGTCAAGTGCTAAAGGACACACTGCAGGCTGAGAGCACCAGGCATTCCTGACTGTGGGGGAGGTACACAGGAAGAGTGTGTGGTTTTAGGGAAAAGCAGTGTCCAGTGGTGGGAAATGAGGCAGACAAGCAAGAACCAAAGGCATGGCCAAACAAATCATACTTGACAAGTGAACTAGGGAACGAACACTGGAGGCAGAAGGGGGACTGGAAAGTAAATTCAGAAATGTAGGTTTGAATCTTGGCAGCTATGATGGTGGAGACAAATGAAAAACATCCCTGGAAGTTAGAACCAGAAAAGTGAAGGGGTAAAAAAGCATTTTCATGACCTCAGGAGGGCACAAACCAACTGCTGAAGAGGTCAGACCCCAGAGAGCTGGCAGAACAGACAAGGCATGGTTTGGGCAGTGACACCAACCAGATGAACTCAGCAGCTCCTTAGGAAAAGGAAGAGCACTAAGAGGGAGGTGCTGCATCTGGCCACAGTCAGACACAGGCTCCTTACCTGGTTGTCGAGCAGGGGCTGCAGCATAGCACTGGCTGAGCCTCCAGCCTTGAAGGAGTCTCTCTGGTAGGAGCCTACTGGGTCAAAGCTGTACACAGCTCCCTTTCCTTAAAGAAAAAAACAGTCTCCATAAGGACGGCACCCAATCACCACCCAGACCACGGTAAAAATGAAAATAAATCCAGTCAAAACATGATGTGAAATGCACCACCAACTCAGCTAACTTCAGCCAATGACCAGAACACATTCACTGCTGTGCCGGTGACACCAGCAGAAAGCATGGTCAGAGCAAGAGACCCAACCCTAGGCTCAGACACTGCAGGCAACCTACTTACGAGACACTTGACATGATCTGCAAGGTCACGCTGCTGTTATCAACCTGTGGCCCCAACATGTAGTGGGATGCAGATGCATCGGCTAATAGGTTACAGGGTCTGCTCTAATTTCTGACCAAATCCCTAATATTTCTAAATAGTATAGTTTTTATAATATTTCTAACTTGTATAGTTTTGGCATTGACCTGACAGTTGAAAATTTTTCCAGTGGTAAATGCATGAGTGATCATAAGGAATACTTGCTGTGTTTGAAGCATAAAGCCAATCCTTCATAAAGGAGGAATTTCAGAAAAACATAAATGACACATGTAAAATATTAGGTTTGCCCAAACTATAACAACTTGAATTACTAGAATGATAAAAAATAGCTTCTTTGGCTGGGGTTGTAGCTCAGTGGTAGAGCACTTGCTTAGCATGTACAAGGCACTGGGTTCACTCCTCAGCATCACATAAAAATAAATAAATAAAATAAAAGCATTATGTTCCTGTACAACTAAAAAAAAAACTTAAAAAAAAAAAAAAAAAAAAAAGAACAGCTTCTTTGCTGGGCACAGTGGCATGTGCCTGCAATCCCAGCAGCTCAGCAGGCAAGGCAGATCACTAGTTCAAAGCCAGCCTCAGTAATTTAGCAAGGCCCTAAGCAACTTAGTGAGATACTACCTCAAAAAATGAAAAAATAAAAATAAAAAGGGAGTGGGATGGGGTAGAGAGAAGACCTGGGGACATGGCTTATTGGTTAAGTGCCTCTGGGTTTAATTCCTGGTTGCTCCCCCAACAGAACAACGAGAAGCTAAGAAAAACAGAATCTGAATCCACTTCCTAGCAATATGACAGAAACTTGTGGGACAATGAGGATGTGCCCGGCAGACTCCACTGAAGCAGATATAAATGATGCCCTCTCTGGCCCAAGAACCTCCTGGTGTGAAAGCACACACACGACGACGACTCAGTCATGACTCCTTGTAAACAAGAAAGACACCTCTATATCACCCAAGAGCACAAAACTTGTCAGTAGAAAGAGCAAACCCTGGAGCCAGCCCCGCCCCTCAGTATCCCAATATGGCCTGCTCAGGCCATGTTTCAGTGATCAAAAACATTAATATCTGCTATCACCCCAGAGAGGTTATGAGGTTAATACACTCAAAATACTTAGGTAGTTTCCAGTGCACACATGTTCAGTGTGCACCTTGTTACTACTACTCAGCAGCCCTGGAAGAAGACTTACATGTATGTAACGGGACTATGGAAGACGGGACAATACAGAATGAATTGAGCTGGGTAACATGTACAAGACAATCCTGTTCTTTAAGACATAAGAAAACTTATGCATATCTGGAGTCATCAGCTTAAAACTATACAATACATCCAATGTATGGTTACAGGAAAATACAGGTTGGACATCCTTCATCCAAAATGCTTAGGACAAAACGAAAAAGAAGAATCCCCTGATCTGGTTATTCAACAATGAGAAATTTTATAGGTATACAAAAGCTGGAAGAATAAATAGCAAACTGTATTTGATTATCTTTTGAGTGTGGGATTGAAGGTAAACAACAAAAATGCTTCTCTATTGTTTGAGTTTTTAAATAAAGAACACGTCACTCTGCAATTTTTGAAAAAGCTTTTTTTTTTTTAAAAAAATTATGGATTTGAGACATCATGGATCATTCAGAAGGCATGCCTAAAACTGCATGTAACTGACTGGAACAACACATGACACTAGAACTGGAGTACTCTAGCATCACCCGGAAGATGTGGGGTAGGGAAAAATCTTCTTACCATGTGTGCACAACTGCCACTGTTATCTTTGTGTACTTTTTCTATTGCAGAAATATGAAGACTGAATTTCATGCTGGACAAGGCAACATGAAGTCCCCCAAGAGAATCTAGGGAAGTGTCTTTGAGAAAGCAAAGGTCCACTAACCTCAGCCTACCAAGAAGGAATGGAAAAGAGACATAAAGGCAAAAGAAAACCATATCTCGTACAAGCTGAGTGGCCACAAGCAAAATGAGACACAAAAGCTTTCCCTGAGGGTGGAACCAAGTTCAGAAAACTAGAAAGAACAGATCTGAGGAAAGCAAAGAAAAGGGTGAGATCTGCCATAAACAGACTTCAAGAGGCCCCTAGAGAAAGCAAGAGACACTGGCAACATCTGTGCAGGGGCATAAAGCTTGACTGTGAAGCACATTCTCTCAACAAAATTCAAAAAGCTCTATGATTTTCAAATAAATAAATTAATTAGAATAAAGCCAGATAAGTAAGTCCTTGAGAGATACAGATAAGTTTTGGCTTTCCTAACCAGGCAGGAAAGCCTTAAGACTAACAGATTAACTAAGAACGTACATAAAATCAAACTTTCACATTCCCTGCTGGTAGAAGTGAACTGTACATCCTTTCTAGAGGACTGGGCAGTAATGAAAACAAAATGAAAAAGAAGAATCCCCCGATCTGGTAATTCAACAATGAGGAATTTTTTCTGGAGGAGAAAAACACAATTAGAGAAATAAACAGAGGTATATTTTTTACAAGGATGTTTCTCATGTTGTTTACAGGAAGGAAAGCTGAACAACCTGAATGCCTGTGGAGGACAGTGAGGCACACCAAAGTACAGCCTCATAGCACGGAATCATATGCTAAGAGTCCTTAGGCATATCTGGAATCATCAGCTTAAAACTACATTATATATCCAATGCATGGTTATAGGAAAATACAGGTTGGACATCCCTCATCCAAAATGCTTAGGACCAGAAGAATTTCAGATTTTTAAATTTTGGAATATTTATATATATAATATAAGGTATCTTGGGATTGGGACCCAAATCTTAATGTGAAAATCACTTACGTTTCATACACATAACCAAAAGGTAATTTCATAAAGTATTTTAGATAATTTCATTCATGGAACAGTTTTGCGGTGTGGATTTTCCCACCTATGGTGCTAGTCAAGTTTTGAATTACAGAGCATTTGAGGCTTCAGAGTAGAGATTCTCAACCTATACTACTGTCTTACTCATGCGCAACTACATGAGTGTATAAGCATGTATTTACTGTTCTCACTACAGAAAAACTAAGGTTCCTTTCTGGGGAAAATGTTTAGAAAGCATGGCAGGAACAAAGAGACTAAAGGCACAGACTCAGGTAAAGCAGACGCAGAAGGGCAGCTGCTCACCTCGTCAACAGGAAGCACTGCCTCCAGGTCGCCTCTCAGAAGGCAGGAAGGCTCTGGACTCAGGGCACCAGGCTCAGAGCAGAAAGGGTTCAGGAAGGAATGAAAATAGAAGAAACAAATAGAAAGCTGACAGAAAAGAGCAGATCTCTAGCTTTCTTCCCTGCTGAGGCCTTGAAGGTAGGCACCCAGCATTAAGAAACCTTCATCCAAAGGGGTGCAGGTCACCTAAGTACCCAGCTGAAGCCAGCGGGTGAGCGACACCAAGACCTTCTGGTATACCACTCTGAAAGACAAACGGTCACCCAGAAATAAAAAAAAATCTGAAGAAAGGCTCTGCTACAGAGACAGGCAAGGAAAATAAAACCACACAAAAAACAATCTAATGAAATGCAAACAATACAAGAAAATTTCAAATTAAGTACAAAATAAATAATAGAAGGATTGAAAAAAAAGCCATTAAACAGGGAAAATCGCTTAGAAATTGAAGACACCAGAAACAAAAGTAATAGAGTGAAAAACTAAAGTTGTATGCTGGCCATACAGCTCAGTGGTAGTGTACTCGCTTAGCATGTGTGAGACCCTGGGTTCCTTCCCAGCACTGTAAAAAAAACCCCAATAAATAAATTTGAGAAAAACTAAAAAATATCAGATTCTGAAAGCAAAATCTCAAAAAAAAGGCCACTCTGATTTTTTTTCTAGAAATATTTGGGAGATGCATGCCACCCAAATAAGGAAATAAACCAAGAGGAAAGCCCGGGATCCAGCCTCTAATTGGTGGCATGCATCTGTCCTGAGAGACTGTGTTTTTGGAAGCAAATGATATCAAAATCGTAACTGGTAGAAAATAGCAGCACCATGTGGGGTAAAGCAGCTGTGGACCAAAGACAGATGGAAATGTCAGGTGAAACACTTTCTCAGACATTGCCTCTTCTTCTGATAGAAAACCAAAGAGGTGTTTCAGAAAGGTTCTCAGAACACTGAGAAAGTATAGACAGTAAGTACCCCAAATGACTTTGAAGACATCACTTTACAAAAACTTTTTGAGTCAACTACTAAATATGTCAATAATTCCTTGTGATCACTTAGGATCACATGCAGGTCAAGATCCCATAGGCCATATTTTTCTCTGAGATAAAAATGCAAAATTACAACTTTACGGTATGCAAGACTCCCAGGAAAGAGCAAAATAACTGACTGCTAATGTGCACCACATGCAGTACTTGCTGTGTGCCTTCTGATGTCATTGATCCCTCTTAGCTTGAGATCCTTCTCATGACCAAAACATGAATTGCTGGGTTAGAGGGAGTTTACGGCTCCTTTCCACTCCAAGCAGAAAGGGACACATCTGGGAACCACGCCCCCTCCCTTGCCAGAAAGCAAGGCTCTACCTTCTTCATCGAGTCCACCGATGATGTTGTAGACATAGTATGGGAAGAAGCGCCTTGAGTACAGGATGGTAGACAGCATCGCAGCAATGGCCCCCGTTGTCATGGCCTTATTATTGGAATGCTTGTACATCTGCAGGATTTGGCAAAAACAGAAGGCATATGAAGGTGGAGCCTGCAATCTCTTTCACATCAAACACAACAATACCTACGTAAAGTGGTACTCTATTAGATCCTTAAAATCTCAAGGGAACAAATGCTAAGCTTGCCTTCCACTCTCTGGCCCTGTAAGAGGGCACATGAGGTAACTTAGGAAAGCCTTCCAAATCCACACCTCCCCTTCACTGTGAACCTAGACCAGGGGCCATCAAAACCTAGCACAGGCCAAATTTTAGCCCACTGCCTGTCTCTGCGAATATAGCTATGATGGAACACAGCCACACTCACTCATCACATACTATCTCCAGCTGTCTTTTCAGGACAACAGCAGAGTGGGGCAGCTATGACAGAGGCCAGATAGCCCATGAGGCTGAAAATGCTCGTCATCTGGCCTGCCACAGATCAGTCTGCTGACCCACATCAGAGCCAGATGTGGCCCCCATCTCTGCAAACACCTGTGAGAACAGGAGACAAAGGGCAGATCCTTAGTTTGCAAGATTCCAGTACAGAGAGTGGTCTCGCTCCTCAAAGCATTCCCAGCAGAGAACACAAGTAAAAAACAGGCTCCTAGGATAACAATATAGTGTTTTCATAATCCTAGATTTGTCAGACTCTTGGGAATCCAGAATAACTCAACAGAAATTCTGCAAAACTCACAATATAAAATGGGTTTAGGTTGACTTAATTTTTGTCAATCATATAGCATCACTAAAGAGAAACCCAACACTATAAACCCAAACCATGACTTTCAAAATATAGAAAAATAAAAACCTATGTAAAATACACATTAACAATCGCTGTAGATACCTTCTAACATATCTGAAACCTTGAACATAAGGTCCTAAAAAGCGCAAACAACTGATGAACAGTGAAATCATTTCTATCCAACCCAAGTCAGTGCCAGTGAAGCCAATATTCACCTGCCTAGTGATGGTGTCACAACTGGTGTGAAATCAGCCTCAACAAGCAAAGCCACGTGACCACCTTGTTGGCACTTTCCTGTCATACCACCCCCTACCCCTGGTGGCCACCACTGAAGCCTGTCAGGTGATGGGCTATAGCTCCCACCCTCACTCCTGGTCTATTCCTTCCTCTTCCTGCTCATGTGTCTGTACACTAAGGTCAATGGTACAAAGGGAGAAATCCTTTCAGCTGACAGTGCTTCAAACCAAGTGCCTGCTAACACATTCTGGGGCACCTTCTGCCCCAGACAGTTTTAGAGGGAAAAGTTTCCTATGAGCCCCTCTAAGGCTACTTGGAGAAAGAACTTCTCATGGTACAGAGATATCAGCATGTGAAGGAGCTGCTGGTTCACAATGAGACCTCAACAAACCTAGTCAGCAGGATCACTTCACTTCTAGGATACAATGTTTTGCCTGTTAAATTCATGCTTCTCCAGCTGTTCTAAGCAACAGTCATATTGCAGGCCTAAGAATCTAATGGATTGTTTCTAATTTTCAATGGTGTTGACAAGTACAAAAGCACCTACCTTCAGTCTTGCTTCAATAATCTTTGTCAGGGTAAGGCAGTCTCCATGAAAACCGCTACATCCAATGACTGTTTTGTCTGTTCTGTAAAAAGCACATTTCAGCAAGGATGGTTAAAATCTGATGGTGTTATATCATTCTCTATCTCCATATCTTGTGTATTTTATTAAGACAAAGGAGAAAAGGGTGCTCACTTCAGCAGCACACTCATCACAACAGATGCTACCCAGGTGACAAAACTCACACTGGATGGTGTCTATATAGCCAAGTTTAAAGCTTTCTTTTTAACATTTACTATTCTCAAACTCTGAAAGGTACATCTTAGAAGAGGAAAGCACTGGCAGAAAAGAAAGCAGATCCAAGGGCAGAAGGGACTGGGACAATGCTTCTTAGGTTAAGATGTGGGCCTTGCTCAAACCAGGAAACAAGAAGGCGCTGTCATCTTCCTCACCTACTCCCCACAGCACCACAAGGGCCTGTACAAAGGGCCCAGAAGGACTCACACCTTATCTCTCTCATTCCCACTCCAATTCATGCTTAGTAAACTGTGACTCAACTTGGGATTAACAAGGATTCATAGCATTTCCCAAATGGTCATTTAAGTACCGCAGCTAATCAGCAAGACGCACTTCTGTGATATATACAGACAGTTCTATTTTGGTATATATAACTTCATTTCATACATTTTAGGAAGATAATTATTCCGCCCATTAAAACTTTAAGTTATTCAAGGAAAAATAAACTAGGAAAATTTAAGAACACTTAGTAGATATGGTGCTATGGTTTAGATGTTTGTCCCTTCCAAAATGTGCTGAGGTTTAACTGCCACTGTGATGGCATGTTTCGGGTAGAGCCCTCATGAACAGACTAATGCTGTGCACCCCTTTCTCTCTGTCCTTCTGCCATGTTATGACACAGTACAGAGACCATGGCCAGATGCTGTTCCCCCAAGGCTGGAATTCCCAGCACTATGAGCCAAAACACTTCTATTCACATAAGTGGACTTACACAAATGATTAGAGGCAAAGAAAGAAATGTTAACAAAATGCTCAAGGTAAGATCCTGGGGATGGCATATTGGTGTTCATTATGAAATTCCTTTGTTGAATAAAAGTGCTTGAATTTTCAATAGTGAGATGCTAGGATAAAAACACATAGGTTACCAAAAGCAGTGTGGGTACCCAGATATAGCAAGTATCAAAAACTCTGCAATGAATTTAGAAAATGCTTAGAAAATTGTTCTTTAGAGAAAATACAAGATAAGCTCCCAAGGCAGCGTAAAAAGTCACTAAACAAACTGCTTAACCGGAGGAATCTTTTGCAGCATTATGTCATCACAAAGACATCATGAAATATGTCCTTAGAAAAATTTACTTACAACTTGTAACATTTGGGGCTGTCCCGAGTGTGAATAGAAAAGCCTTCACTGAGCCGAGTGTCAGAAGCAACAATCGAAAAGTCTTCACCAGCAATTGCCAATACAGTACTGAGGAAACAAAGAGAAAATTAATGCTTCGGGGTGGTAACCCTACCTTTCCTAATGGAAGAATGCTCCACAGGACATATTTGGATGTGAACAAAAACAGGATTCCAATGGAAGAGGAAAGACTGGCTATAAATGTCTTGGGAAAAAACCCTAATCATCCCAAATTCAAGCAAAGGCTCCCTGACAGGAATAAATGAAAAAGCCACTGAATTATTATCATCATCAAATCAGAAACCTTACTAATGCAAGGTTGTAGTTTAAAAACCCTGACATTATAAAATGATGAAATGAGGACCAGGTATAGATAGCGGCAGAAGGGAGCAGTGCATCTTCTTGTGCCAAGAGTATCTAATGTCTTGCACACAGCAGACACTTGGGTACTTGCTGACGAGTGGAGAGACAGCAAATTTCCCCTAAGATCCTTAAAGCAGAAACTCCAAAAGCAGACCCGGGTCCTAATTCTGATTCTCCAACTTAGCAGATACAAGGCTGCTGGGTATGTTATTTAGCTTCTCAAGGCCCCAATTTCCGTTTTTACAGCAGAGCTATAAGTCATAGACTTGTTGGGTATTGGCAAGGGTTAAGTGAGCTGACAGTTGTAAAGCCCTTATAACAGTGACTATGCAGCACTGCTCCTCTACTAGATGTGAGCTATGACTGCAGTGGCATATGCTTGAATGAGAGTAAGATGACTAAGCACCTGGGTTCTGGAATTACTGGAGGCAGAGACCTTCACTTGTCACCCAACACTTCTGTGACCTTAGACAAATTCTCCAGGTTCAAGTTAATGACAATAGCAGTACCTGTGTTACAGGGTATCTTTGAGAATTAAATGACAACAATCCACACTGAACACCTAGGGTTGAGGATGTAGCTCAGTAGTAGAGTGCTTGTGAGCATGTGCAAGACCCAGTAGTGCCAAAAAATAAAAATAAAAAGTCACAGCACCTAGCATAGTGCCTTCCAGAATATAGTACTCGGAAAACTTGAGGTCCTATTTTACTGAATAAGGTTTTCACTAAAGTTTCAAAGTAGAAAAGGATGCATTCCAGGGATTAGCAAGCAAAGGGAAACAGCTAATATTTACATAGTACATGAAAACAACCATTCAGGTGGCCATTTTAGTGCAAGAGAGTGGAGAGACATATTCCTGCATGATGGACAGGGATCCTGCTGTGGAAGGGCCCAAATGTCAAGCTAAAGATTTATGAATTTATAAAAAAAAAATTTGAATTTTAGCAAGGTACTGTGAAGATTATCTGAGCAAGAATGAAAAAAGTTCAATTTGCACAAAAGGGTTTGATGACTACTCTGACAACACCACAATGTAAAACGGGACAGAAACATGCTCCAGAACAAGTAATGCAATGGGAGGGAAGCAGGGTAAAGAGGAGAAAAGGGGATGCACCCCAAACAACACACACACACACAATGGACTGAAATGCAGAGCTGGAAAAACCCATTATGACATCCATGATTTTACAGAAGCAGAATAATGACATAACTATGCCGCACATCTAAAGGAGGTGATGTGGTTAAAAAGAATAATTAGCTTGTTTTGCTTACTCTCCTCAGATGGTGAGAATAGAAAAATCAAGGCATAAATGTTTTACAGGAAAACAACAAACAAACAGAATTGAGGAACTTATGAGAAGTAGAACTGGAGAAAAAGTCTTGGGAATTATACTCCCAGGTATGGGACATGTGACTGCTAAGGACAGACTTGGAGGCTAAAAATTAATAGAAATAAGCCTCATTTTGTAGAAGCAGAGGCTGCCTGAAAGCCAGCCGAAATACATGCTAAAGATTGAGAATGGGTGGCAATGTAATAATCAAAAGATTATAAATCTTAGAAGAGTAATAGCTTTAACTGGATTACAAGTTAAACTGGATGACAAGGGTAAAAAAGTGAATGAGAACTGAAATTCTATTATCAAGAATTTATGCAGGGAGCAGTGGCACAAGCCTGTAATCCCAGCGGCTCAGGAGGATGAGGCAGAAGGATCCCCAAGTTCAAGTCCAGCTTCAGCAATTTAACAAGGCTAAGCAACTTGACAAGAGCCTGACTCTAAATGTGGGGGGGGGGGGGAGAAGGCTGGTGTGTAGAGTACCAAAAAAAAAAAAAAAAAAAACCAAAAAAAGAATTATAACAGTTTTATGAAATGGGTCTGACAATCCACTTTATAATATGAATCATCACATGACATGTTAATGAGTGCAATGGAAAAGTAAACAAACCCAGTGATGACAGAATTCTGAATTCAAGTCCTGACTCAATTCACGCAAGGTCTGTAACTCAATTCAAACACACAAAGTCCTGACTCAATTCACACAAGGTCTTTAACTTCCAAGAGCCTCACCGGGCTAAATATCATCTAATATTTACTGATCCTGAGAACTGAATATGATCATTGCTGGTACGTCACAAAATGTCTTTGATTCTCCCCAGAAATACTAAGTAGCTAAGGAACAAAAATAAATTTAAGTTCAAGAAATGAAAAGGTAGCCAGGCACCTATAATCCCAGTGGCTCAGGAGGCTGAGGCATAAGGACCCCAAGTTCAAAGCCAGTTTCAGCAACCAGGGAGGCGCTAAGCAAACTCAGGGAGACCCTCTCTAAATAAAATACAAAATAGGGTGGGGATGTGGCTCTGTGGTCGAGCCCCCCCCCAACCGAGTTCAATCCCTGGCAGCGCCCTCCACCAAAAGAAAAAAAAAAAGAAACGAAGAGGTACCCAAAGACCACACTGCTCTTCAGTAGCATGACCAAAACTAAAACTGATTCTTCACGGTCTTAACACACTCTCACATTCAATATTTCAAGTTAATTAAGGACCTGATTGGTATTTTGTTTTTTTCTAAAGAACCATCTGCACGCCTGTCATCCCAGCGACTACGGAGACTAGGGCAGGAGGATCCAGGAGGATCCAAAGTTCGAGGCCCGCCTGGGCAACTTAGCAGATCATACCAAAAAATAAACAGGGCTGGGGCTGTGGCTCAGCGGTAGAGCTCCCGGGTCCAGTGCCCAGCGGCAAAACCAAACCAAGAACCGTCGTCAGTGAGAAATGGCTGATACACTCCAGGCGCCGTCAAGAAACCCACGCCCTCCAGGGAAAGGACTGCTAGAGACCCAGCGGGCACTTCGACAGCACCAGGCCCCGAGCGGCCCGAGAGCACACGTAGCTTTCCCCGATCCCGGGCCCAGAGCCCGAGCTCCGCCGCGCGCCCTCAGGCCCACCGCTCCCGCCGCCGCCGGGCGTTACCCTCCGTTGAAGGCGTAGGGCGAGAAGCGCAGCCGCCAGGGACCCGCGGCGCCCAGCGCCTCCATCTCCGGCTGCCCGCCGCAACCCCAGGACGAGACTGCGGACGACATCGCGCGGCACGGCTAGTGCTGTCTCACGACGAGATGGCGGCCCGGCCGGAAGTCGCGCCGCTTCCGGCTTCCGCGGGCGCCTCTACCCGGCGCCTCTCTTTGCTCCTGGAGGTCCGCGCCGCCTGTCTTGCAGAGCTGATGAGACTAAAATTTTTCTCCTTCAGAAAAAGAAAACATTCGAGTTCACTTTTGGCGGGCCAAATTGAGAGTCTGGCCACACCAAAAATTTGGCCAGACTATGGAGCAGCGGCAACTTGAAGGCCCCCTGGGCGGTAGAGGACCCAGCCCCAGATGCACACGTAGTCAGGCCGCAGCTTTCTGAAAGGCCTCAGACCGTACCAGCTGAAGGCCATGAAAAGCGGAGTGACTGATTAACCGAGGAGCTGCCACAAAATGAGATATGTCACTCCAAATAAACGAGGCGACTTCGGCTGCTTGGGAAACCGGAAAGACACACCTGCGCCCCGTAACCCTAACAATGCGAGCGACAGCACGGCGTGCAGAGCAGGTGGGGCCGTTTGGCCGGCGTGTGGGAGGCTGTAGCGTGCCAGTGCACACGTTCTTACGCACTTACTTACACAAATTATGTTTCCAATCCTACGTGCAAGCCCTCAAGCAAGCAATGAACTAATGTAGGATGCACTACCTAATAAGCACACGCCATTCTGTAGTAATATTTTTTTAAAATATTTATCTTTTAGTTTTTAGCGGACACAACACCTTTGTATGTGGTGCTGAGGATCGAACCCGGCCCGCACGCATGCCAGGCGAGCGCGCTACCGCTTGAGCCACATCCCCAGCCCCTAACACATGCAATTCTGGAACCAGAAAGATTTCTTTTTGGGACCAGGCGGGTCCCGGGATTGAACTCGGGAGCACTCGAGCACTGAGCCACATCCCCAACCCTATTCTGTATTTTATTTAGAGACAGGGTCTCAGTTGTTTAGTGCCTCGCTTTTGCTGAGGCTGGCTTTGAACTCGCGATTCTGTCTCAGCCTCCCGAGCCGCTGTGATAACAGGCGTGCACCACGGCGCCCTACCCAAAGATTTTTTTAAAAAGTACTTGTTTAAAACCTTTTCCCGGGGCTGGGGATGTGGCTCAAGCGGTAGCGCGCTCGCCTGGCATGCGTGCGGCCCGGGTTCCATCCTCAGCACCACATACCAACAAAGAGAACTAAAAAATAAATATTAAAAATTCTCTCTCTCTCTCTCACTCTATCTTTTAAAAAAACAAAAACAAAAACCTTTTCTCATGTTTTACCATATAATAAAACAAAGGATTTTCCTTAATGGTCATGGCCCGAGAAGATCACCATTCTGCTTATTCTAGTCCTCCACAGGTTAACAAGGTGCCAGGTTCTGTCCTGGGTACTTATTTTAAGTACAATTTCTCACTCTTAAAGAACACACAACCTTACTGATAATTAGAAATACAAAGGAAGCAGATAAGCAAACAACATACTATATGAATATGCCTAGTATCAGGGAGCAGCAATAGATCATACCTTGTGACAACCACAAAGAGTGAGGAGCGCACGAGGTGGTAGTAGTAGAATTAAAATATAAATGAATGTGTGAGTACACGCCATCTGCTTCTGTTTTTCCTCATTCTGCAAGCTCGCATTTGCGAACTAGGTAAGGAATACATGAGTGCCATTTGCCACGCACTGCTCATGATTCACGCAAACTCACAACTCTAACGGGAAGTTCTATGATTATGATTACCCAACTTTGCAGAAGACACCGAGTTGGAGTTGTTAGCTTCGAAAGGGTACACCACTAGTTGGTTAAAAAAAGAAAAGAAAGAAATCCAACATTTAAAAACCAGTATTCTTCCCGCGTCCGGCAAGGACCAATTAGAAAAGGTTCTGGCAAGACGACCCCGCCTCGCCCCGCCCTGTCCCGGAACTACCAAAGAGCTCCGCCTGGCGTTTCCCTTTCGTCAAACGCCCCGAGAAACGACGGAAGTGACGGACTCCCACGCCTCCTGTTGACGCCGCGCGCGCAACCCACTGAAGCCGAAGAAGGGACTGGCGGAAGTGACATTATCAACGCGCGCCGGGAGTTCAGTGGGGTCGGCCAGGGTCGCCGTGGCGGGCGCCGGGGCCACCTGCGGCTGAACTTCGTTTGCGGAGGTGCGTCGTTGTCTCTGCAGTGACTCAGGTAACAGCCCGCTCAGCTTTCCCTCCTTCCCGAGGGCTTGGGCCTCCCCGACAGCGAGGCCCGAGGGCCGCGACGGGCGTCTCGCCGGGCGGGCGCGCAGGCCCGCGGGGCCGTTGCTCCGCTCGCGCTGCCGCCCCTCACGCCTGTACCGGCCGCTCGGCCGCGGCTGCAGCCCAGTACCGGCTCCGCTGCTATCCGTGGGCCGAGCGCGGGGTGCAGGGAGCATCGAGGACGCAGGTCTGCCTGCCTACGCTGCCGCTGGCTAGAGGGCAGGTTCACCTGCCGGAGCCCGCCCGCTTTGCTGCCACAGGGTGGGTTTGTCTCGAAGTCATGCTCCAGACCTAAACATCTGGTCAAGGTCTCCATCAAGCCAGCATGGGTTCTGAAAACATGGGGTAGGCTTGTTTGGGAAGAGATTTATGTCTGAGTTATCCAGACGTAGCTAGAAGGCTGTGCAGAATTTATTTGATCACTTCCCAGAAATACCTAATTTAATACTCCGGTTTCCATGAGAAGATGACGTTGCAAACATTCCTTTCCAAGGATAAGTGCAGTACTCAACGTGCGATTGTATGGTACAGGTGAGGAAAAATGGTCTGTGTCATTGTTGAGAGGTGAGCTCTGAATAGTTTGCTCAGGTCCCTAACCTTCAGTAACCAAACCGTTCCTTCTGGAGACTTTTAGTGGTCTGGAGACAGCAGAGGTTCCAGATAAGTGCATCATATGTAGGGCTTTAAATTCTGCTTTCATTACCTCTCTACTCAACCATAGCACTGACTCCTTGAAGTGAATTTTCAGTCTTCAGTTTTCTCTTCTCAGATTTAACCACACTTGCAAAGTAGATCTAATTCATGCTGCACTTTGAAATCCTGTAACTGTTCTTACTGCCTATGTATGTAATAACATCTAAACTCTGGTAGCGTGATCTCCTATGGCTACTGTCTCATCTCCTGCAGTGACGTTCCAAACAGCCTAATGCTAACCTTGTCACTCGCACCCTGCATGCTTTTCTTTTTTTTTAAAATATTTATTTTTTAGTATTTGGCGGACACAACATCTTTGTATGTGGTGCTGAGGATCGAACCCGGACCGCACGCATGCCAGGCGAGCGCGCTACTGCTTGAGCCACATCCCCAGCCCCCTGCATGCTTTTCTATCTTTGTCTCTGTGCTTCATTTCTTTTGACTGAAAAGTTCTACTTGCCTTGCTTGACACAGTTAGATGATCCCTGCTTTGTGAAAACAATGACCTCTCTTCAGAGTTCTTGATTTTAGCCTATGTTGTCTTCTCTTCCACAGAGGATGTGCATTTATTCACAATCACCATATGCCAGGCACAGAGATAGGTGTAGAGATTTCAAAGACATAATGTGCTGGTTTCTGCTCTCAAGAATCTTAGCTTACTTGGGGCATACTCTCTGCTGGGCTTACCAAGTTTTTATAGTACTTATTTGCATGCTCTTCATGTTGAACTATTTGATGCCAGGGCCTATGTCCCCTCCATCTTCATATCTTTTATGCAGCACTTTTATTGTGATAAAGTAACAAGTTCAGAAAACATAATTTTCTTATACCTCTGATGTATTCATTTTCAGAAGTAGAGCTCTTGCTTGCTTTCTTTGATTAGATTTTTCAATGATGAGTTTGTAGGATAAGTAGTCTTTGGGGGTCCAATTTTTCATTGCTTTAGCAAATATCTTAGTGCCTACTCTGTACCAGCACATACTTTAAGTGAATGTGGTTTGTATTAGGGTTCTCTAGAGGAACAGAATCAACAGGAAGTATAATTATAAAAAGGGGACTTATTAGTTTGGTTCACACAATCAGAAGCTGAGTGGTCCACAATGCCAGAGAGCTGGAAGAACCAGTAGCCACACAGTCCAAGAGGCTGAAGCCCCAGAACAAGAGGAATGAGCAGTTTACCTCAAGAATGAAGGCTTCTGGGTAATCACTAGCAGAACACAGCAGCAGTCAAAATTCCATTCAAGAATCAAGCTTGCATATCTTGGTGATTCCTTGTTCTTACAACTTTTATTCCATCTAAGCCATCATCCTATTGGTTGGTGGTGCCCACGCTTAGGAAGGATGTCCATTTCAGTTGGCTGTCTCACATGCCAGTCATTCCTAGACATACCCTCACTAACACACCCATAGTCCTCTCAATACTTGGCATCTCTTAAGTCAACCAATTTGACAATTCAAATTGACCATTACATGGGTCTTTGGACATACAGCTTTGAGACCTATAAGTTCTGTGCAAGAATATCTTATTAGATGATAATAAATGTTTGGACTGAATTATTGTAGTAGTAGTTAACATTTGGTCTGTGCTTACTGTATAACTAGGTATATTTTGATCTGTTAACTCAGTCAATTCTGTGTTGATTCAATCAGTTCTCACAGCAACACTGGATAATTTGTGGACCCATTTAAACAGGCCACAGTCTTAAGGATTGGGAATGTAGCTCAATTGAGAGTGCTTCCCTGTCATGAGTGAAGCCTGGTTAAGATTATGACATTGATATCAATACAGTATTTTTACTTATTGATGTATCACACAATTTCTACAATCTTTGATTAAAGTAGGAGCTCAAAAAAAGACCCTAAAAAATATTGGGTTTGATTCAATATTTATTGGATCTTATGCCTAAGACATTGTGGAGGATATAAAATTGGGTAAAATATTTAAAACCTGAACTTGAACTTGGCTTCTGTATAATTATATACTACACTTGCTATATATATATGTAATGCTTAATAAATGATCTGCTCTGATAAGACAGTTTGCTTAGCAATTTTTTTTTGAGATGTTTTTCCTCATTAGTTTTTAATGTTGGTTATGACGTCTTAATTTTGAGTACTGTCAGACTATTTAAATTAATCATGTAATAGAAC